TGGCGCGATCTCGGCTCACCGCAACCTCCGCCTCCTGGGTTCAGGCAATTCTCCTGCCTCAACCTCCTGAGTAGCTGGGATTACAGGCACGCGCCAACATGCCCAGCTAATTTTTTTTGTATTTTTAGTAGAGACGGGGTTTCACCATGTTGACCAGGATGGCCTCGATCTCTTGACCTCGTGATCCACCCGCCTCGGCCTCCCAAAGTGCTGGGATTACAGGCTTGAGCCACCGCGCCCGGCCAGGAGTTTTAAATTTTGATGAAATTTATCAGTTTCTTTTATAGATCAGGATTTTGGTTTCATATTTAAGAAATTGTTGCCTAATCCCAAATCATAGCAACTTCTTTCTATATTTTTGGAAGTTTTACAGTTTTAGGTTTTACAATTGGGTTTCTGTTCCATTTTGGTTAAATTTTTTAGATGGTGTAAGATATGGACGGAAATTATTTGCTTATGGATAATCAGTTGTTCGTTTGCTGAAAATACCTTCTTCTTCACTGAATTGCTTTTGTATGACAAAATCAGTTGTCCATATATCAATCAGTCTCTGAACTCTATTCTTTTTCTTCGATGTATTTGTCTTTACGTAAGTACCATGCAGTCTTGATTACTGGAGGTTTATAAGACTTCAAAACTAGCAGAGTTAGTCTCCTAATCTTGTTATTTTTGAAAGTTGTTTTAGTGATTCTGGGTCTTTGCATTTTAGAATTAGCCTGGTAGTTTTCACAAAAAAGCTTTTTGGGACTTTCATTGGTATTCCATTGCCCCGAAGATCTGTTTGGGAAAAATTGATCAAGTCTTCTGATGCATGAATGTAGTATGTCTCCATTTATTTTAGATCTGCAATTTCTTTTCAGCTGAGTTTTGTAGTTTTCAGTTGACACGTCTTTCCCATCTTTTGTCAGATGATTCCATTTCATATTTCTTGACGTTATTGTAAATGGCATCACTACATAAAGGTAAATTTTTTAAATTTAAATTCAAAATTGTTTGTTGCCAGTATATAGAAAAACGTTGATTTTTTAAAAAAAAATTGTTTAATTGTGGTAAAATACACATAGCAAAAAAGTTACCATTATAACCATTCTTAGTGTAGACTTTAGTAGTGTTAATATATTTACATTGTTGTGCAGTTGATTTCCAGAACTTT